CGTATAATTAGCACGAGCAACTGGATCGATAAACAATTTTTTTAAATCTGGAAGCCATGCTACAGCAGGCAGATAAGACGGCTTCCACATATTGCACATAGCACGACCCTTAATGTAAATCACACACTGTATGCGAGAGAGAGAGAGAGAGAGAGAGAGAGAGAGAGAGAGAGCGAGAGAGAGAGAGAGAGAGAAAGAGAGAGCGAGCGTATTAATCACTTCATGTGGTTTCTCGGTTTCTTTTTAGTTTGGTTCGAAGCCTTCTTTATCGTTATATTATTCTGTTACGCCCCACTCTCCACGCCGTACGGTATATAAATTATACACCCGCCGACCCTTTCACATTTTATACTGTGTAACGAACAGTGTTCACGTCGGCTTGAGAACGTCTTCAAATTATAAGTTAGCTCACCGTAGCAAACATGGCGAGCTTAACCAATATTCTATCTTTCTCTCTCTCTTCTCTCTCTCTCTCTCGTCTCTCTCTCTCTCTCGTCTATTCCGCTCTCATCTTCGTTCTCCTCGCTCATCTCTCTCCCGTGCTCTCCCTACTCTCTCTCTCTCTCGCTCTCTGTCTCGTGTGTGTGTGTGTGTGTGTGTGTGTGTGTGTGTGTGTGTGTGTATGTGTGTGTGTGTGTGTGTGTGCGTGTGTGTGTGCGCGCGCGCGCGTGTGTGTGTGTGTGTGTGCGTGCGTATGTGTGTGTGAGCATTACCCACCAGTACGTGTGGCATTCGGTTGTGAGCTGCACCAAGGCTGGAATGATTGATGGTGGCTATAGTCATCATTACTCGCTAGTTGTTCGCAATGCACTATAGCTATCAGCATGAAATCAATGACTGCTGGAGGAACAGCATCGCACGCAGTTGAGATGAAGGCTTTACTAGGACATCTGGGGCGGGGGCCCGTTGTCAGAAACAAAATTAGTCTTAACATTAGTCTTAACATTAGTCTTAACATTAACTTCCACTCGTAAACCGTTGACAGAAACATCGTAAAGTTACGAGAATGAAAAATCCTCGCAAATATTTTCTTAACATTACGAGAGCCCAGACCTTCTCGTAACTTTAATATTAAGATGAAAACAGCACATTTCCATTAAGAATTACAATTATAGTGATATTATATTTTATATTAATGAGTAATATCATGTTGTTGTTTTTTAAAACACGTCAAAAACATTAATTATCTACCGATCGTGAAACAAAACAAAACATTTACAAATGGCGCATGACATTTGTTCTCTTGTTTTAAATACTTTTGCACTGACCACAACTCTCGCGTCTCGTGTTACAGTGTGAGAATTTGTCTTGTTGTGCAGAATAAATTCAAGACGGTGCCGTTTTTTATCAAATATTATTTATATGTGGTTAGCCATCATAATATGCATAAACTAGAGCACTCGGAAAGCACAGACCTCCGCCAAGGCAGCTGAATTCTCTTAAGTGGAAAAATTAATTAATTAATTACTTAATTAAATAATTAATTGGATCCGGATTAGTGCGAGCGTGCAGGTGGGGGAGGACTGTGGTTGCCCCTTAGCCTGTGGTTGCGTGTTTGTAAGTCTACAGCCAGCGCACCTAGCGGAAGTGAACTGAAACGTGCATGTTAACAAATCCACAAACCAACACTCAAACACACGCCGGTGAAAACATCACCTCCGCCAAGCCCCTGGCGAAGGTAATTACTGTGATGCACTATAAATGTGTATAAATTTGAATTTTGTGATTGATTCTCATCCAATCAGCAGCCTTGAGACATCAAATTATAAAGTTCCTGTTATCGTAAGTTTTCTAATCGCTGTGGCTATATGCCCGGCAGCCGGGCACGGTCTTCGATTTCCTAAATGCCCGGCAGTTCCTAACCCTAACCCTAACCCTTGTTTACTTGAGATAACGCTGAAAATTAAAAACTGACGGGCATTTAGGAAATCGAAGACCGTGCCCGGCAGCCGTCAGATATATGCCGGCTGCCGGGCATATAGCCACTATGTTTTCTAATAGTAATAGCTGCGATGTTTCTGTCAACGCTCCTCTCGTAACATTAACATTAGTCGTAAGTGTTATCTTAGCATTAACATTAGCATTAACTTTACGATGTTTCTGACAACGGCCCGGGCCGGTAGTCAGAAACGAAATTAATCTTAGCATTAGACTTAACATCAACAATTTTTCTTCGACCGTTGACAGACCACATCGTAATGTTACGAGAACGAAAAATCCTAGCAAATTTTCGCAGTACTTTACGAATCGAACGATTACGAATCGAATTACGAATCGAATTACGAATCGAACCTTCTCAACGGTCTAAAATACGAAGTAAGTGTTAGGAGTATAATGTTGTTGTAAGACTAATTTTGTTTCTAACAACGGGCCCACGGTTCTTCCCAGGCAAAGTCAAAACGTATCGTCACCATGATGGTAAAAATCACACGAGGAGAGGCTGAATATATATAGCAGTTAGTCGCCTCTTATCGTATGGAAAGCTTCTTAGGAGCTGTACTGATATAGAAGTCATGACAGCCGGCTGTCACACTGTCTGTAAGGACTGCACAGCCAATTTTGTCACGTTAACATAGAGATTCACTTACTATGCATGAGGCGCACACATCCACTTATTGACAGGCCGGAAGATGGCCGGGTAAATGTACTTTCATCTAACTAATCAACTAACATGAATACAGGCCTAGCGATATGAAGAGAATCGGGCACAATTGCTGAGACCGAGACATGATTAATGGGTTCTGTAGCTTTTCAAGAAGGAATAAATAGTTTTCTCGATTTTGTTCCCGTGTAGGTCGCAAATATACGCATACCCGCGGCAGGAGAGTATCGCAGCGAATTCCCTCGGAACATGACATAGCATAATGAATGAGTAAGACAGATGAACGACAGTAATTCGAGCGTGCATGTACGCTCAATACCATTTGCTGACCCTTAAGCAGCTATCCCTCTCACAGACCGAGCCATGTATCAATGATATGTGATGCCTAATTGGACGGATTTCTGAGATGACGGAATCCTGATTACACTACTTGCAGCTTCATCTCTCAGATGTAATTGTTAGCTGCTTTCTCCTCATCCATCTTCGTATGACTTCCCGTTCTATCGGTCGTCTATATGCACAAGTGACATCAATGGACTATAAATCTCAATTAAAACACAATAAAATGCACACATTCTACTAGCTATAGTAAAACTATAATCCCGCCTATTAAAATTGAAACAACCACAATAATATTGCGAGTGCCAAGTTCGCGGCCAGAAACATCATAATTATAATTATTACACTGAGCAGCAACAACGCTGATTCGACGCTAATGAGTACGTGCCCAGAAGTATTTATACTGTACGACGCTAAATGAGCTACCATTTCCGCATCCACTCTATATCGTAATTCGATATGATCAAGAGCTCATAATAGAGAACTATGAGCTAAGACCTACCAGTTAAGAGATCTATTATGAGCTCTTGATGTGATCCATGTGAGTGCAACGTATATTGTATACACCTCTAGGGCACGCGCGTAAACGCGCGATATAAATATGCGAGGATACAGTGACGCAAGGGAATAAATACATGAACGCAGGAATGCGGAGATGCGGAGAATACAGGAACACATGTGGGGAATACAGGAACGCGGGGATACGGGGATGCATAAGAATACAGAGACGCAGGAATTCACAAATGCAGGGATGCATGAATCCAGGTGTACGGGGGACACAGTGACAACGGGATACGGGAACACAGGCACGCAGGAATACATGGACGCAGGGATGCGGGTGATACGGAGCCGCAGGGGGATGCTGGGGATGTAGGGATGCGAGGATTATGATAATACAGGGTAATGTGGATGCGGGGAACACAGGTTCGTGTTGGGAATTACATGAATGCGATGGCTGAGAGGATGCATGAGGCGCAGGGATGCGGGGGATACATAGATACATTGGGGATACAGAGTCCTCGGACCGTATTGATCAGCAGTTGGTGTGATGTCTGGGCGTTTTCAAATATAGCAGAATCGCGCATAGTGCAGTCTCACACGATGTCTCTGTCTCTGTCGATGACTCCCCTCGATGTCGAGTCGCGCCTAGACTAGGCCAGCGAACAGCTCTGTGGAGCTTTGCTCGAGGCACCGATAGATGCTCAATGTTGAGGACGATTAAGAAAGCTAAGGTAATTTCCCTAACGTCAAAACGCCGATGCACAAACACGTCACCGTATACAATATATATATATAACGGTATTCGGCTGGCTTGTGTTGTGAAAAGAGAAGACTTGCTGAGATATTGATTCTTATTGATTACTGATTCTCCACCCGTAAAGTTCCGATTATTAGAGAAACCCTATTTACATTGCTCGCTTTACGCGTTCTAATATTCCCCTCAGACATATTGCAATTCTCTCTCGCGTAATTTTCCCTTTGAAGAGCGTGATGGTAATGGGTTTTTGCATCTAGCGACCACTTCAAAGCCATCCCATCCACTTCCAACCCCGCCCGCAGAGAAACACGTCGCTCGCAAAAACAGGCGGCCGGAAAAGTCACGCGCGTCGAAAATTAAACACGCATTAGAATCTCCGGTTTTAGCCGACAGTAGCGACACTCTAAAGCTTGTCGATACTAGTATTGAAGTATTGTAGTCGGTGAGGGATAACGCATTACGCTTTATGGGGTTAGGGTATAGAGGTGCTCTATGCCGCTTTAAAAAATTGTTGGGCTTCTGTTGAAAATTTGTCTGACTGTCTGACCGACGGACGGACAGACGGACGGACCGACCAACCGACCGACCGACCGACCGACCGACCGACCGACCGACCGACCGACCGACCGACCGACCGACCGACCGACCAACCAACTAACTAACCAACCAACTAACTGCACTGTTTGACCGCCGCCGCGTGCTGTCTGACCGTTCAGGATCGCTAGACATCGCACGTTAAGGAAGAAAAAAACTGCTACCAGCGCAGAGAACCGACGTCGTCTGCTGCGCATGCGCGCTTACCTCGCCTGCGAGTCTCTCCAGCGTGACGATGTAGTCGGACACCCTGGTGACGCCATCTTGCTTTTCCTTTGCTTGTACAGTGAAGCTGATATTCTCTACGTTCACGCCCGTTTGCACTGTCTGCAAGAAGCGAATAAAAAACAGTAAGAATCGCATACGCCATTAGTGGTAGAGCTAGCAGCGAGTTAAGGCGAGAGAGAGAGACGGGGAGTGAGCGAGCAAAACAGTACGAGAGAGAGGGGGGGAGGAAAGGAAGTGAGAGAGAAACAGAGCGAGCGTGGGAGAAAGGACGAGAAAAACAGTAAAAGAAGGAGAGAGGTACAGAGAGAGAGAGAGAGAGAGAGAGAGAGAGAGAGAGAACCAAAAGAGCAAAAAAGAAAAAGCTAGACAAGAGGGAGAAAAGAGACAGAGAGTGAAAGAGAGAGAGAGAGAGAGAAAGAGAGAGGGTGGAGAGAGCGAGACAGAGAGAACCCAGAGGAGCTCTCCTGCATTTCGACGAGGTGCTGGCACAGACATACTATTTCATCAATGATTAACGTGCATGTGTGTTCCACGTTAATAGCACGAGTAAATGGCCTCTACACAGGGAACGATGAAGCCCACCTGACCATCTCGAGGAGGAAAACCTTTCAGCTTCGAGGAGTTTGACTACGCTATATCCGTGCATATACTGCAGTACCCGCCCGGATTATTTTGCAGTACGTACTTTTGTCGTACGTTTTAGCGGTCAAACACAGCGATAACCCAAACGCATATTAAGATATCACGCTAGTGGGGAGAGAAACGCTGTCACGGAATGACTGAACGCAAAATTCACCGATTTCCGTTAACTTTTACTAGAGTACCACTTGCAGAAGCCAAAAACATTTCTGCTCACTGAATTTACTCGAATATGTCACACTCCACACCATGGTATCTACACAACCCAATCTTAAGAAGCAATGCGGAACCTCGGGCGATCATAGTCCATCATCATGGTCTCATTTCCTTTTACGCTTACCGCGTGTTATTACCGGGAACCACTTATTATCTCGCCCATAAAACAACTGACCACCCTCTGAAAATGTTTGTGCATGCTTTCTGCAACAAAGACCACGATGTTTCACACTATAGTAAAATCGTGTGTTGAGCGATATATAGCTTTATGATTTTGTAACTGGCGGTGCGCACTCTGATTATTAATTTGCATTTTGTCAATTGTTACGCGACGCGTAGAACGTGATGTGTAGAGTAAGAGTGGTGCGAAAAATACCAGCGAGGACTCTCTCTCACTCAGATTGACTGTATTCGAACATATAGATCGATACAGACTTCGAACCAGTCATCGATTAGTTCTGTCATACTCTTTCATCGGTAGTCGTAGGTATTATCGATGAGCGTACAACTGCATGAAAACGCAATATCACATCCGAGCACCGTAAAATTGTATATATGGCATACCGCCACAGTAAAATCTCCCATGGGTATTCTGCCATGTCACATGCAACGGACCTTGTATGCGAGCTGTTCAAAATGACAACGAATGAAATGGAATTCACTGAAGCGAAACTGTCGCCTAGGGAACAACAGTGAGAATCGTTTTTAGCAATGCGGAAAATCTTGACAGATATGCGTCGCTTGCATGGCTTGCGGTTTGCAACCGTAGACTCATTTGCTGCCGAAATGTCAAGCGCATAGGTTGCGCAACACGCGTGAACGACCGCCATTGTTAATGCATCTGGACGTTGCAGTATGCGTGTAGCTTTCACGATGGCAACCGAACAGATATTAACACTAATGGTTGGTGTTTACTGTTGGCCCACACACTCCCAATTACTTATTTTCAGCTGGTTAACAACCAATGTATTCACAGCTTATTCTTTGATAAAAATCGGTTTTAAAATTTCACGATTTAACCGAGCTTCAATTGTAGTATGCTTGCGCCAATCAAGGTGCCTTGTCACATATAATATCGTTAAACTACTATATTACTAAAATTGTCCTATTGATGTTACTCTGCGTACGAGAATGCCATCGGACACATTTGATTTTACCATAAGGAAAATAAAAATAACAGAGTAGCTGAGTAGAAATATATAATATTAGCTATCTAAGACTTTTGATTAATCAGTTGCATAAAAGTTAAAAAATAATTCCTACTAGCACAGTCCATGCTTCAGCTGCAATATAACGATAAGTAAATATAACTAGAATCCCAATGGCTGACAGCAGCCCATCATGCGGGCTTCATGCTGACAGACTCCCGTGCTAGTGGATGTAAGATGCTGACAGACACCCGTTCTAGTGGATGTAAGATGCTGACAGACACCCGTTCTAGTGGATGCAAGATGCTGACAGACACCCGTTCTAGTGGATGCAAGATGCTGACAGACACCCGCTCTAGTGGATGCAAGACAATCAACCGGAGCAACAGTACAGCTAGGAACGACCGATTGACTGTGAAACAGCCTGGTCGAGGCGAATCGTGTCGGAAGTACGTGATAAGGACAGACATAAACGTAACGGGTTCAGGAACGGGGAGGTAACGACTATACCGGTCATTAAGGAGAGAGTCTGAGGAAGAATTCACTGCAGCGATTAAATACCCGCCACAACACGCTTCTCGGCACACGTCAACTGCATCCAACCATTCACCATAGAGACTTTACTATTAATTTTGGCTTCATCACGAAGGATGAATCACCAGCTATATTGATCCAAACCATGGTAATATGTGCTCTAATGAAGATGCATTAGGCCTACTTAACAATGCAAAGTGTAATTATGTTAATTACCCGGTGGGGCGAGCTGCTGCCGCAGACGAAGAAGTAAACAAACATTGGCTAAACCGGGTCAATGCGTGGTAACGCACAATGAAGCCGCCGGATAAACTGCTGTATTGGGAATACTGCGGCACTGTTGCAGCTGCGTTGCCTCTGCTGCGTACTGACTCGCTGCTAGCTAGCTGCCAGGCTGGTGGCTTCGTCTACGAATCGATTACCGCATTTCGCTTTTAATCCCGGATCTTTCTTCGCTTTCTTTCCCCCACACACCATACGTATATATTCGCGTGATATGAATAATTCCACAGCTGAGCTGAGAGGGTATATATGCACAACTTTTTACAGGCCCATATAACCCCAGCCTGCCTCTTTATACACTCTGCTCTATGAGATCGCCCATCCTAGCCGAACCACGACAAAAAAACAGTCAATTTCAGCCAATCCCATAAAAAACAATGCCCACTTCCGGCAACCCATAATAAAAACATTGCCCTCTTCAGCCAAAGCCACATTAAAATAACGTTTACCACAGCCAATCCCCAATCCCCATGTTAACACAATGTAAACTGCAGCCAACCCCGAACTCAAATAATTCCAGCTCATTCCGTTGACACTCCCGCGGCTATCTTGCAGACTGCTGTGTGCGGCTGCACAGCTACTAATCGCTGCAATTTGTTGAAGAAACGAAATTCGAGCCATCCCGCTAGCGGTCATTCAGCCAAACGACGCGCGCTCCCCCTGGTTAACCGATGCCGCACTAATGTCGCCGAGACACTGACAACTATAGAACGTGCGTGCGAGCGTGCGTGCGTGCGTGCGTGTGTGCGTGTGTGCGTGCGTGCGTGCGTGCGTGCGTACGTGCGTCTGTGCGTGTGTGCCGCAGGTACGTGCGCGAACTGAGTGTGACGCCACCGTAGATTGATATATGCTCGTATATATATATATATATACGCTGAGATCAACCGAGGGTGCGAGCAGGCAGGCAGTCATACGCCCCCGTTCACGATATACGAATCGATCTGTACGTGACAACTTACGATGATTCTCTTTCGCGCCCGATATATACGTGCGAAATATGCTAGATGGCAGCACAGGAGGAACGCGAACTCGGACCCCCCCCCCCCGAAACTCTACGCCTTACGGCAGTTCTACTGCGATAAATGTAATATATCGGTAACATCACGGGATCGCGCTACGGGGGTATAGCGCGTTATTCACTTGTCATCCTCGCCGCATTTTACGAACAACCGCGACAACAGCGTTGATTAATGTCGTGCGGGCAGAGTGTTCGAGGAAAAGCAATTCTGCCTGCGAGTATTTGGCACCCGACCGTTGCCGACAGCCACAGTAAAACGCTGTCCTCCCCGTGCAATCTATGGCTAGCTGCGGCGCGTGATTGCTACGTTGTGCTTGATCTCCCAGCCACAATTAGGCGGCCAGCAATCTTCACTAATGGACGAGACTGCAGGTACACCGACCGAGCGTGGGCTCGTGGTGATTATATACGTATACATTCCGAGCTAGACTGTCCTCACGGGCAGTGATCTAGGGAGCAACAGCGTATATTTGTAGACGTCAACACGTATATTCTATAGAGTAGTAACGCCAGTAGTAACGCTAAGATGCGTGCGCGGCAACGATACATCGCAACGATACATCGCAACGATACATCGCAACGATACATCGCAACGATACATCGCAACGATACATCGCAACGATACATCGCAACGATACATACGTACAGCCCGAGATAGACTTTCCTCGCGGGCAATGAGGGAGCAACAGCGTATATACGTACATTTTACCAGGAGCAAATAATCACATATTGTTTGTGATTATTTACTCCTGGAAGAGAGAATTCAGAGAGAAGAAATCAGAATTAGAATCAGGAGTAAATATTGTGTGATTATTTACAGGTAACGCTACGTTGCGTTGCGCCATGCGTGTGTGGCAACGATACGCCGAAATAGACGTTCGAAATCGCATAGTTTGTTAATGATTACATATACCATCGCAACGCAATCGCGGGGTGTCATGTCAGCGGCCAAAAATAAAGATTTCGATACTAATTGTTGCTTTATGACAAATGTGAATGCATGACTATAGAAATGTGTAGGTATATACTGTTATCAGGAGTGAATAATAATAGATGTATTATTATAGAATCTATTATTATTCACTCCTGCTGTTATTTATGTACTTACTATCATAATATACCCTAAACATTCTAATGTGTAGTATGCATTTAAATATTATAAGATTTAAGATTAAGATTTTAAGATTAAGATTTTAAGATTAAGATTAAGATTAAGATTTAAGATTTTAAGATTAAGATTTAATGATTATACGTACCATTTCATTCTTGCCCGGTTCAGTCACGGTGCTCACGTTGCAGAATCTAGGAGCAGACGACTTCGTTTCGACGCCGCTAAAGACGATTTCCACGCGCCCCTGAAGCGATAACAAACAGTCATCAGTTGACATCTATGCGCACAGACTCTTCTCTCTCTCTCTGATTAAACTCTACTGTCTGATAAGATCTCCCGTTAAAGAGGGTTTAATGTAATAGTGCTGTAGGCGAGACACCTATATAGAGTTGATTCGGTGGGGGAGGGGGTGCATGATCAGATACGATGCAGATGAAAAATTCGCTCCCTGTTTGTACCCCCTCCTGCAGACCCAAACCTGATCAAAAATACATTAGTGAGAAAAGCTTCAAAGTCGCACAGAGAAAGATCGCTTATCTAACAGCTAGCCGTCTACGCCTGCTGCCGCTAGTGCTGCTGCTGCTGCTGCTGCTGCTGCTGCTGCTGCTGCTGTTGTTGTTGTTGCTGCTGCGGTTGTTACTGCTGCCGCTAGTGCTGCTGCTGCTGCTGCTGTTGTTGCTGCTGCTGTTGTTACTGTTTTTACCACTATACTACAGATAGCGTTACTACTAAAATAAATTACTGGATAGACATGACTTTCTATTTTGTACTGTCACTCTAATAGCAGGAGTAATTACCTTACATAACTGTACGCAGAAATTGGCATAGCCTATTTAAATATAATCAAGATCAAGCTAATAATCCATAGCATATATGATTAGCTCTCGATAGAGTGCTAGTAGACAGGAAAAAGAGTGAGTTTAAATCTAGAACCGATGGATTGACTGCGAGCATATTTTATTCAGGAGTGCGTGCTGGATTTTATTCAAACAGGATTAGCGGTACTTCTTCCCATATAGTACAGTTTATTCTCGCATAAAGTTACCGTGGCAAGCGTTGTTTCACGATTACGTGACTGACCAATTAACGAACGTGCGCGTGTTTAGTTTTTGAAGTGGTTATTGATTTGTTTGAGCGGCACCCACAGAGTCAATGATCGCCCGCCCCCGACGAAATTACGACAGAAACAAGGCGGATATTTGTATAACTTTTATAGCATATTAAATACTATCGATCGAATGTTATATTGCAGACAGACCAGGATGATAATGCGGTCGCACAAGCTAGAATCAAGCCCTTACAACTTAGACCTATTATGGCCACATGAACAAATGAAAGTGTCAATGACACTGTAGCTCACCGTGGGTGCGATAGAAGAGGGAGGAGAGATATATAAAGCAAGAGTATATATGGGAGAACTCCCATTATATAGCATATCTCCCATTATATAATCTTGATAATGATGATACATGAGTAATTTTGGATGCGAAAATAAATGTTTCAGATTTGTTGGCATACAATCTGATGGCGTTGACCGTAGGCAGACACTGAAATGCATAGTGAAATTGCCAAAATCTACCTAATTTGCATAATTTTTTCTAAAATATAAAAACCCGTGTGATATGTTTTGGGGCCAGTCCTTATTCATTCACATACCAGAAATGAGCAAAATCCGTTGAACATGAACCGACTTGTCACTTATGGCCATTTCCATTTTTGCGAAAAAGTGGACGTGGCTCGAAAGTAGGTCGACCGGCGTGCTCCAAAATAAGACGTTCAAACCTCTCCCATAGAAGTAACTACTATATGCAATTTGAAACATGTGGGTCAAACGGTTCCTGAGTTATCGTTGACCGTAGCCAAATGTTGACAGACGGACGGACGGACGGACGGACGGACGTACGACGGACGACACCCCATGGAAATAGCTCATCTTGACGATGTCAAGGTGAGCTAAAAAGAGCAGCTCAGATCATTAGCTTAAATAACCTAGTCGCATCCAGAGAAGACCTTAATAACATTGACATTGTATTAATAAATTTCGTAATTGTAGGACGCAATCATACACAATTTTACAGAAAAGCAGTGGGTTCCCAAAAATTCACAATTTCAGGCTGTGCGCGAAAATAGAGCTTGCCTCTGACTCGTTTTTAAAGTTTGCTGAAACAGTAAGAATATTGGAAATCATGAAACATCTAGCGCGTAAATTTGGACAAAAGTTACTTCAATGAAAAGACCCTGCTCATTTATACAGAATCGCGTCCATTAGAAAAAAAAATTGATATTCAAATAATAACGCAGTAATAGAAAAGCAAAATGGTAATACGAAAAATCGAAAACGTTCAGGGATATAAATTATAATAGGAAAAATAATTATTTATCGTGCGATGCGTTGTCATGGATCAGTCCGTACCACACTACACGTATCCCCCACGGCTGGGGAGCGGAGGCAATTATACACGCTTGTCTTTTAAATCAATACGAATAAAGAGCTGACAATATGGCGATGCTAAACCATATGTACGCCGTATATTTTTTTTTAGCTCAGTGATGCGGCCTCCGCCTTTACGGCCAACGCGCGTACGGAAAAAAATTAATCGATTAATCAGTTTTGTCGGTCGCGCGCCATCTCTCTATTCCATATTCGATCTACTTCATATACGCACTGTAAAAATGATAAATCCCTAGAGACTCACGGATATGTCAACTGTCTTATTAATAAAAGGTTGCCATCACACGGAGCCCACAGTTACGAACACGATGAGTGAGAGCGGATGCGTTATACTTCCTGGTTATACGCAATTGGAACATAATAATCATGGAAACTTAACAGCCCCCGTGGAGACTCTCTGTCAGTGCGTCCGGCACTAGCAAGCAAAACATAATTGAGAGATTTGCGCAAAACATCTGTTCACTGCCATATTGGTGCAAACCCATCCACAACTACGAACATGATGAGAGGGGGCTTTCATATAGAACGCGGAGTGACGCGTTGAGATCATGACGTCTGCCTGCATGCCGGCAGCCGAGAAACCGGCATCTTAGCAACAGCCATCACAGCTTCAGCATCCCAAACGCACGCAGTAGTTGACCGATCCAGAAGGCTCACTCACTACATAGTAGGCTCGCGATCAATTTGTACCCACCCAGCCACCTAGCAAGGCTGAGCGAGTCTATGTCCCCCAGGGTACTACCGGAACGTACCCTGGTACTATTTAATATGCCGGACCGTACCTCGCCTACTCCACTAACGAGTCTAGGGAGTTGCCTACGCCTACTCCCTAACCATAACCCTAACCCTAAACCTAACCATATCAAATAGTTACCAGAGTACGTTCCGGTATACCGGACTGTACCCAGGGTACGTTCCGGCAGTACCCTGGGGGGACATAAGACCCTACGAGCCCTAGCAAGCCAGCCAGCAAGCTAGCAAGCCACGCGCATGCAGTGCTGCTTGATAGCTGTCTGTTTGCTGCGATTCGAGCGGACGCATTCGCCTGTTTACTGTAGACGCGCGTGCATATACGCAACCACGCAACAGAAGGGGTGTAAAGCTTCAGCGCTATTTATACTCGCTTCGCGGCTATTTTTGGCGGAGAAGGAACCAAAGAATCTCCGGCGATGGAAGCCTAATGGCGTGTGTATGCAGGAGCCACCTATAGTTGCATGGGACTGCCGCCCCAGCCCCTTTCGAGGTCTAGCGATAGGAGAAAAAAACAAATAGACGAGTACTAAAATAGATAAAATCAAGCGCGTATTAAAAAAACTTCTGAATAAGCTCTTGATAAAATGTTCACGACACAGTCACCGGCGCCATCGCATCCCAGCCTCTCTAGCGTACAGGAATCCCTGCTACAGCTATACAGTTCGTGCTGTGTGATATCAAGGACGCAGTAGGGCGGATACGTACGCATATGGATTGGGCACTTTTGGTTAGAAGTGTGAGACCTTGCACACGCATACTACAATAGGTCCTTGAAACGCGTCTTTTTCTATGGTGAGACGGCGAGACGAGACTGACCGTATAGCGTTAAAGTGAATGGCCGATGTGACGTCACGATAGCGGTACCTCGGCGGGCCAGCATGATGAATAAACAGGAATCTACATGTTGACGCAAGCCGACCTTGCGCGGTGGCTTCGCTGCGGCTTAAGTTTGGCCAGCTCCAGATTCGTACTCGCAGCAGACACATCAATGTTACATCTCCAGCTGCTCCATGCGAAAACACGCCGTGGCGCATACACTACCGCACACTCCTATACTGGTAAATCTTGGAGTAAGAGAGTAGAGTAAACTGTAATGTCCACTCTGCACCCCCGCTCTCATTTGCAACTGGAATCATATACTGCATTAAAATTAATTAATTAGTCATTGGTTTATTGTGTGACCCGAAATGCGTTCGCTCGCTCAGCGAGGCCTCGGTCTGTACCGCCAAATTGAATCGGAAACCTATAACGACGGCTTTACGACTGACGAGAGCGCGTCTGGTATACGTGCGAACGCGTCCCCGACCGCGAAAATAAACGACACGCGAATAATTCATACCGATAATACCAAATAATTCATAATTCACTAACCGCGAAATTAACCACTCGCGAAATTGTCCGTCAAGTCTGAATTCGCGAAAATATCTGTACGGGGAAAATACGGCATATACAGTATACGTCCCCGACCCCTGCACCGCTGCTTTTACGCATAGTAAAGCCATGAACCCGGCTCTTGACATTTTACGTAGCATAGTACGTGCGCCCTCATTAAAAATGGATGACAGGGGGAAATTGATTGGAAATCCTCATCATGCCAGGCCTTCGCGTAAGTTGCGTTACTCATACGTGCGCAAATGCAGTCCGCAAAAGTCACGGCCATGGATAATGCCTTTCGTGAGTACACAAACGAAATTACCTCAACAGACTTCCGAAAAATACCGAGTGGAAAATTGCTCAAAGTATTTTTTGCACACCTATTGACTCTAAAGTGGCGAATCTGGTGAGAGGAAAATAAGATATCCTTTGAAAAGGGCCTAGCGGTATTTTCGGACGGCGGTTTTTCGCCAGTGAATGTTCGGTCACGCACGTACGATCACCACATCAAATGCAACATCGTTCGTGGTAATCCAATTTCCAAATGTAATCAAGCACAAAATTGCAGTAGGCTTTCGCGTCAAGCTTCGTTTGTGGATTATGAAAGCCGTCGAAACAAATGTATAGCAAGCCCACACCGAGAGCAAGGACTGATATGTGGATTT